GAGATAACACATGCAATGTATTCATTTTGTTTTTGAAAGAGCTAAAAAATTTACGACATGATATATATTTCATTTCGCTAAAGTTAACCGGTGTATATTTTGTGCGAAAAAATATGCGCAGTGATTATCTCCTTTAGCTTTAGGCGTAGTGGAAAGCTTCATCACGCACTGAGTGACTGCCTCCGTGGTAGAGCGTCCGCCTGGAGAGCGGAAGGTTGTTACCCTGTCTGGCGCTCGGCATTAAGGGGCTAAAACAAGGACTGGTCGGCTCGGAGTCAGTATACTGTGTCTGAGTGGGGTATTCATGTCATGGGGGATACAGCTTTTTTTAAAAGGGTGGGTGCACAATTAAGATCTATTTATTGTCTTTTGTGGTAATTTATACAGAAATAAAGATTTTTTTCGAAATAAAAAAAGGGGGGGGGGGGGGGTGTAATGTATATTTCATACCGTTTCATGCTGCGGTTTACGGCGGTTATTGCCTTGACAGTTTATCTTAACTTCCGGCAGAGATTATACTACCGTATATGCTCTTTGCTTCTGGGTGCATAGCTGATCAACAGGTTGGTCTGTAGTTTGCAATTATTTTCTTAAACAATAATACGGTTGCATGATATATTCACGAGTGAGTGAGTGGGTGAGTTTGGTTTAACGCCGCTTTAAACAGTATTCCAGTTATATCGCGGCGTGTCAGCTTAATGTGGGAGGAAAGCCCGAAGTGATGTAGGTCTGAGACATTTACCACTTCGGTGAAACCCACGAGCACGGGTATGGTGCTGACAAACCTAGAAACATAATCGGGGCGAACCGGGATTCGAACCAACACTCATAGGTTTCTGGCGTGCCCAAAGGGCGTTCCACTGCACAGCGAATCGCGGCGCCTTAGACAACTGGGCCACCCGTGCCCCCGATATATTCACGATGCTTGGTTGAACATAGTAACATTCTTCTAAACATACTTCAAATCAGTTAACAAACCCAGTTAACTGAACGGAACCGTACAAAAGAGTGGGTGAAGGAGTTGGGTTTGAATAGTATTCCACTTATCTCACGGCGTGTCCGAAGTCATACCCGAAGCGATGCAGCTCTCATCTTCCCGAGGCAAGAGAGTTAACTGACTTTAAAAGTCCAGTTTCCATCCTTGCCGAACTAGGCTGGAATAACTGGGCTCGATCGTTGCGCCACCAGTGGCTATTACGAGTTATGTCCTTTCTATGCCTCTCCTATTGACCAATCAGATTCAACCTCTCGTATCACTTGCATTTGTTTCAAACAAAACGGCGGCGCCCAGTAGAGACGATCTGATCGATAATCAAGATCTATATTGTGACAAAACGAGTCTTACATCGCGAAGTGCATCAATTCACGTGAGCACCTTGATAAAAAACATGACAAGATTTAGAAAATATCTGTTGACAACAAGTTAGCGGTGCACATGCTTTACAAATCCTGCAGTCGACCGAAATCTGCTTGACACTCCACGAACCGGATTTCGATTTCGGTGCGCGATTTTGATTCGACTATGCATAGACTCGTTAGCCCAGCCAAACTCTAACTCCATAATGCCAGCCTAGTTCGGCAAGGGTGGAAACTGGACTTTTATAGTCAGTTAGCTCACTTGCCTCGGGAAGATGTGCAGGTCTTAGGAGTTCACCACTTTGATGAAACTTACGAGCACGGGTTTTGTGCTGACGACAAAATCGGAGCGAACCGGGATTCAAACACACTGTCATAGGTATGACCCTTGAAGATCCGGGATAGAATAGATCTTCAGCAACCCATGCTTGTCGTAAAAGGCGACTAACGGGATCGGGTGGTCAGGCTCGCTGACTTGGTTGATGCATGTCATCGATCCCACATTGCGAGGATCGATGCTCATGATAGCAATCACTGGATTGTCTGGTCTTGACCCGATTATTTACAGATCGCCGTCATATAGCTAGAATATTGCTGAGTGCGGCGTTAAACAACAAACAAACCAACCAACGGTATCTGGCATGCTCAAGGGACACAACTCTGCATAGCGAATTGCAGCGCCTTAGGCGATTGGTCCAACCGTGCCCCCGTACACAACTGTAAGAAGCTATCATACAAAAAAAAAAGATGTTTCAGATTAGATATGTATTGCGTAGATTCCATGAAGAGACAGTGGTAATATTACACTATCACAAACTAAAAAATATATGCACAATAAGTGATAATTAAAACACACAGGTACATTCAACATACAAAGGATGTGATAACAATTTTATATTAGAACAAGTGTATTACAATGATATGGAAATAACATGAGAATTGAGCAAAACTATGGTAATGTTGTACATACAAGGAATTTGTTTAAAATTGTTGATATGATAACAGATCTTGGAAGTTGTTTCTGGATAACTGTTGGTAAAAGTATTAAAAACTGTTCCTTTTAACAGAGTGTACCAAATTCTTTATCATGGGTGAGGATTATTTGTGATTCTCTTTCTTGGTTGTATTTTATACAAATTGGTGCATAATGTTTGCTTATCTTCTGAGACATCACATGTTTCACAGAGACGTTGTTCCAATGGGGTTGGTGGTTTTATATTTATATATATATATATATATATATATATATATATATATATATATATATATATATATATATATATATATATATAATAAAATAATAAAGTCCACGTTGGTCCATCATCTTCTTTATATCAGTTTCATACATAGTACTTTCGCTGTCTCATGACAGCTCTTCGGTGTGGATATATATATATATATATACCAGTTTCAGGTTTTAGTTTGTGATTACTTAAACGAAGTTTTATTAAATGTGACCTATGAGCTTTGTTTTTACAATATGTAAGATAATTCTCAATATTTATAGATGACTTTACCAACCTGTATATTCTTAGCTTGCTGTTTGATAAATGGGAATCCCTTGATATTTTTGCATTTGGACTATTTACAGTGGATTCATAACATTCGTGTTTATTATTTAAAAAGTTTGTTTTATTTAACCCAACCGACATTTTGACCAGAAATATATGTATTTGCTGCCAAAGCATATTTTAGAATGACATGTGTTGTGTTATCTAAATAGGACTTGTAATCAATTAATTTTTTATATTATTGGTACTAATAGTGGGTATATATCAAGTTCTGCCTGACAGGCCTAGTTACGTGTTTTCTTGCCTTGGTTTTCCTTGTGCTGACCATATAAAAGACTCTGTTTCTTTTATTGTGCTTTCAAAAGATAACTACATTAATAACAACCAATCAGTACTTTACACCATTTCTCTCCTCCATAGCTTACACTTCCTTCCTCTGCACATAACATTATATGGCGGGGAGCTATTGATGCACTGCAGCAATCTCTACTTGTGTGTATCTGCACAATATAGTACTGTCGTTTAGTTTTGATTGTGGGAACATTATGCAAACATACATAATATTCCAGAATAGGCTACCCCTGTAGCAGGTGACTGAAAGCTAGATCATAGGAGTCCGTTTCTAAAAATAGACGCCCTCATGCATATTCATGACCATCTCCACACGCGAGCCCGAAGCCCGGTCTCGCGTGTGGAGATGGTCATGAATATGCATGAGGGCGTCTATTTTTAGATACGGACTCCTGTGGCTAGATCAACTAATGGGTAACGTGTAAATGTCGTATTGAGGATGACCTAGACTAAAATCTAGTCTCTGAAATGAACATATCGTACATAAAAAAAACAGTTTTCAGTTATCTTAATAAAAATATAATAAAAAGGAGCCCAGTGACTCTCTTCATTCCTGATACTGCAGTGATCTAGACTTGCCAAACATTATAGAATTGCATGGGCTGTATTTGATATATATTTGTATCAGGGTCTGTAAGACAGACTAAGGATGACCCAGAGTGGAGAAATGAAAAAAACACAACGAATAAGAGAATTCAATAGAAAAAAACACTGGAACATATATGCTGAAACAGAAAAGTGTACACAACTGTAGTTAAATATAGGTGGCGAGAGGGGGTGATATGTCAGGAGTTCTAGCCTGTTTGGAGAAGATTTGAAAAGCGTTCAATTTAACTATTACCCCCACAGTAAACACTTTCTTGGCCTAACTCCTCTTACGGTATGGTTTACTTTCGAAACAAAATTATTATATGAATGAACATCGTGATATATGCAAGCTAGACAAATAATGTAACACGTGAACAAGTATTATATATTTGAATAAGTCCATTAATAACTAAAATAATGCTGTCAATGCTTTGGGAAAAGCCTGTGTAAGTCTATGTCTCCTGACCCCAGGATCTATCAGATAATGGACAGTCTCGCCACAACACAGCTGCTGCTGAAAGGGGATATTAACAATAACACAGTGATGTAGGTCGGCTCACTGACACTTTTTACCGTAACATGTGCCGATCAGTGGCATGAGCCTTCCCCATATGTCTTTTTGAGATACAGAAATCGGATATGCCACCCTGAATGCTTCGCTCTCTCGTTCAGAGACTTTATGGAAACTTATATGAGGATATGGACCAATTTTAACTTAATTTAACTAATATATTTTGTTTATATGAATGACTACTTTATACGTAAAATTTTCACTCAATAAACTCTTTCGCTATGGGTTGAAACAAAGTTGTGAGCACGTATATAATTATGTATCCCAACGTTTTACTGGAACCGAATCATGCATGAACGAATCATTAAAAAATAGAAACGGGAAAGTGGCAATCTCATTAAAATCAGATCTTAGCTCCTGCTACCGCTAAACAAGCGAGAACTAAGATCTGATTTTAATGAGATTAGGAATGTAGTTTACTTTTTAGGCTTTGTTGAATTTTGTTGTTCTGCACATCTGTGTTGAAACGCATTATTATATCGTCTCTATCGCTGAAGAAGAATGCAACAAATTCATTCTGTCGAATAATACCCGTTGACTTTTGCTCAAAGACGGGCACTAAGCTTCACATCGCAGCTGGTTTGTTTTCGTAGCGGTATTCAAAGGGGGGTAACTTTGCCAGTGCGCATTGCTTATGTCCCTTTGTTTTCCCGACAAGGCTGAAACGATATTGTGTTTGTTGAGACACTTACATCATGTACATGTTATAGTTATAGGTATTGATAAATCTTTGTCGCCATGCCGCTCCCAGCTGCCCTCGCGGCGAGGCTAGCAAAACGAGGTATTGTAAAGGAAGTGAAGAAGCCTGAGCCAATACACCCTGGTGAGTGCATATTCAAAACGTTGAGTGCTGCACGCTTGTCTTGGTCAACAAACTTGGCTGTAGAGATTTCCTTACAAAGTAATATGTGCACTGCTATGTTTATCGTCATGACTCTCGCTATAACGAAGTTGATAGCATGACACTCTATCAGTGAGGTCACTCTTGAAAATGGTTATAACTTGATCCGTATTTTATAATGTTGGCTATTGGCTTCGATGATAAGATTTGGTTTTGAGTCATTTGACTTCATGCTAATCAGCTGCTAATTATTTTAGAAAGTCAAAGATGTTTTTACAATTGCACCTGTCATTTACTTATAACTTACATCAGTACATTTATGGATCATTTTTATTTTTTGTGGTTTTTTTTTCAATGGATAACCTGATAACGATTACGAATTAAATCAAATCATGTGGTATAATGATGTATAACACCCTCACCTTGTATACATGCTGTATGTAATATTTCTATCCCTGAATAATGTTCAACAGCGGAGATTGAAGAGGTGTTTGCTGAGGATTACGATGAGCCGGCTAAACCTGAGCCTGAGGATCAGGCGCTGCCAACAAAAGCAGTAGAAGACTACGCTCAGCCCGGTGTGCTCCCCTTGAGTTCAGAACCATTATTGTATGAGGCTGCTGCTTGTCCAAACAGAGCCAACCCCTACCATCAGTGTGAAGCCTACTGCAGGTATGTACCATCTGTGTGAAGTCTACTGCAGGTATGTACCATCAGTGTGAAGCCTACTGCAGGTGTGTACCATCAGTGTGAAGCCTACTGCAGGTATGTACCATCAGTGTGAAGCCTACTGCAGGTGTGTACCATCAGTGTTAAGCCTACTGCAGGTATGTACCATCAGTGTGATGTCTACTGCAGGTATGTACCATCTGTGTGAAGTCTACTGCAGGTATGTACCATCAGTGTGAAGTCTACTGCAGGTATGTACCATCAGTGTGAAGCCTACTGCAGGTATGTACCATCAGTGTGAAGTCTACTGCAGGTATGTACCATCTGTGTGAAGTCTACTGCAGGTATGTACCATCAGTGTGAAGCCTACTGCAGGTGTGTACCATCAGTGTTAAGCCTACTGCAGGTATGTACCATCAGTGTGAAGCCTACTGCAGGTATGTACCATCAGTGTGAAGCCTACTGCAGGTATGTACCATCAGTGTGAAGTCTACTGCAGGTATGTACCATCAGTGTGAAGCCTACTGCAGGTATGTACCATCAGTGTGAAGTCTACTGCAGGTATGTACCATCAGTGTGAAGCCTACTGCAGGTATGTACCATCTGTGTGAAGTCTACTGCAGGTATGTACCATCAGTGTGAAGCCTACTGCAGGTGTGTACCATCAGTGTGAAGCCTACTGCAGGTATGTACCATCAGTGTGAAGCCTACTGCAGGTGTGTACCATCAGTGTGAAGCCTACTGCAGGTATGTACCATCAGTGTGAAGCCTACTGCAGGTATGTACCATCAGTGTGAAGCCTACTGCAGGTGTGTACCATTAGTGTGAAGTCACCTGCAGGTGTGTACCATCAGTATGAAGCCTAATGCAGGTGTGTACCATCAGTGTGAAGTCTACTGCAGGTGTGTACCATCAGTGTGAAGTCTACTGCAGGTATGTACCATCAGTGTGAAGCCTACTGCAGGTGTGTACCATCAGTGTGAAGTCTACTGCAGGTATGTACCATCAGTATGAAGCCTAATGCAGGTGTGTACCATCAGTGTGAAGTCTACTGCAGGTATGTACCATCAGTGTGAAGCCTAATGCAGGTTAGTACCATCAGTGTGAAGCCTACTGCAGGTAAGTACCATCAGTGTGAAGCCTACTGCAGGTATGTACCATCAGTGTGAAGCCTAATGCAGTGTGAACGATCAGTGTAAAGTCTACTGCAGGTATGTACCATCTGTGTGAAGTCTACTGCAGGTGTGTACCATCCGTGGAAGTCTACTGCAGGTATGTACCATCAGTGTGAAGCAAACTGTGGGTATGTACCATCAGTGTGAAGCCTAATGCAGGTGTGTACCATCAGTGTGAAGCCTACTGCAGGTATGTACCATCTGTGTGAAGTCTACTGCAAGTATGTACCATCAGTGTGAAGCCTAATGCAGGTTTGTACCATCAGTGTGAAGCCTAATGCAGGTGTGTACCATCAGTGTGAAGCCTACTGCAGGTGTGTACCATCAGTGTGAAGCCTAATGCAGGTGTGTACCATCAGTGTGAAGCCTACTGCAGGTATGTCCCATCAGTGTGAAGCCTAATGCAGGTGTGTACCATCAGTGTAAAGTCTACTGCAGGTATGTACCATCTGTGTGGAGTCTACTGCAGGAGTGTACCATCAGTGGAAGTCTACTGCAGGTATGTATCATCAGTGTGAAGCCTACTGCAGGTATGTACCATCAGTGTGAAGTCTACTGCAGGTGTGTACCATCAGCGTGAAGCCTACTACAGGTATGTACCATCAGTGTGAAGCCTAATGCAGGTGTGTACCATCAGTGTGAAGTCTACTGCAGGTATGTACCATTAGTGTGAAGTCACCTGTAGGTGTGTACCATCAGTATGAAGCCTAATGCAGGTGTGTACCATCAGTGTGAAGTCTACTGCAGGTGTGTACCATCAGTGTGAAGTCACTTGCAGGTATGTACCGTCAGTGTGAAGTCTACTGCAGGTGTGTACCATCAGTGTGAAGCCTACTGCAGGTATGTACCATCAGTGTGAAGCCTAATGCAGGTGTGTACCATCAGTGTGAAGCCTACTGCAGGTGTGTACCATCAGTGTGAAGTCTACTGCAGGTGTGTACCATCAGTGTGAAGCCTTATGCAGGTATGTACCATCAGTGTGAAGCCTTATGCAGGTATGTACCATCAGTGTGAAGCCTAATGCAGGTGTGTACCATCAGTGTGAAGCCTACTGCAGGTGTGTACCATCAGCGTGAAGTCTACTGCAGGTGTGTACCATCAGTGTTAAGCCAACTACAGGTGTGCACCATCAGTGTGAAGTTTACTGCAGGTGTGTACCATCAGCGTAAAGTCTACTGCAGGTGTGTACCATCAGTGTGAAGCCAACTACAGGTGTGTACCATCAGTGTGAAGTTTACTGCAGGTGTGTACCATCAGTGTAAAGTCTACTGCAGGTGTGTACCATCAGTGTGAAGTCTACTGCAGGTGTGTACCATCAGTGTGAAGTCTACAGCAGGTGTGTACCATCAGCGTAAAGTCTACTGCAGGTGTGTACCATCAGCTTAAACATGGTAAAGTCTACTGCAGGTAGCACAGATGCACATGTGATCACTTGCATGCTTTCACTTACTGGTACTATCTATGTTGTCACCTTAATTAATACAAAACTTAAATATACAACAATATTCTGAAAGTAATTGTATCATGCAATGCTTAGATGTGTTCTTAGAAACGGTTTAGCAGCTTTACTCATATAACTCTTAGAGCATGGGTTGTTTGTTTGTTGTTTAACGCCGCACTCAGCAATATTCCAGCCGTATGATGGCAGTCTGTTAATAATCAAGTCTGGACCAGACAATCCAGTGATTGACATCATGAGCATCGATCCAAGTCAGTGAGCCTGATCACGCAATCCTGTAGTCACTTCTTTCGACAAGCATCGTTGCCTTTGGCGGCAAGCATGGGTTCCTGGAGACCTGTTCTACTCTGATCTTCACGGGTCCTTAGAGCATGGACTAGAACTGTATACTAGTTGAGAGTTCTGTGGTTGTCTGATGGCGATTTGGTACGTGTTACTACAGACGATGTAATTGTTATTTGTATCCACAGAAAAAGATATGGCCTGAGAGAGTTCAAGACAGATCCAGTCATGCTGAAGAGAAGAGATCGCCATCTGCGGAAATACCCACTTCCCGAGGGCTGGCAGGAAGTTGCTGATCCAAGCACGTACGTTGTTGTTATCTTCTTATCCCACTATGAAAAATAACTCGAGATTTGTTTTGTATATAATGTAAGATTGAAACAGCATATCTATTTTTTCAGCAATTAAGCAGCCCCCTGTTGTCTGTTTCAGAGGGGAACTTCTTCTGTTTTGTGTGTTTCAGTGGGGAACTACTACTGTTTTGTGTGTTTCAGTGGGGCACTACTTCTGTTTTGTGTGTTTCAGTGGGGAACTACTACTGTTTTGTGTGTTTCAGTGGGGAACTACTACTGTTTTGTGTGTTTCAGTGGGGAACTACTTCTGTTTTGTGTGTTTCAGTGGGGAACTACTACTGTTTTGTGTGTTTCAGTGGGGAACTACTACTGTTTTGTGTGTTTCAGTGGGGAACTACTTCTGTTTTGTGTGTTTCAGAGGGGAACTACTACTGTTTTGTGTGTTTCAGTGGGGAACTTCTACTGTTTTGTGTGTTTCAGTGGGGAACTACTACTGTTTTGTGTGTTTCAGAGGGGCACTACTTCTGTTTTGTGTGTTTCAGTGGGGAACTACTACTGTTTTGTGTGTTTCAGTGGGGAACTACTACTGTTTTGTGTGTTTCAGTGGGGAACTACTACTGTTTTGTGTGTTTCAGTGGGGAACTACTTCTGTTTTGTGTGTTTCAGAGGGGAACTACTACTGTTTTGTGTGTTTCAGTGGGGAACTTCTACTGTTTTGTGTGTTTCAGTGGGGAACTACTACTGTTTTGTGTGTTTCAGTGGGGCACTACTTCTGTTTTGTGTGTTTCAGTGGGGAACTACTACTGTTTTGTGTGTTTCAGTGGGGAACTACTACTGTTTTGTGTGTTTCAGTGGGGAACTACTTCTGTTTTGTGTGTTTCAGTGGGGAACTACTACTGTTTTGTGTGTTTCAGTGGGGAACTACTACTGTTTTGTGTGTTTCAGTGGGGAACTACTTCTGTTTTGTGTGTTTCAGAGGGGAACTACTACTGTTTTGTGTGTTTCAGTGGGGAACTTCTACTGTTTTGTGTGTTTCAGTGGGGCACTACTACTGTTTTGTGTGTTTCAGAGGGGCACTACTTCTGTTTTGTGTGTTTCAGTGGGGAACTACTACTGTTTTGTGTGTTTCAGTGGGGAACTACTACTGTTTTGTGTGTTTCAGTGGGGAACTACTACTGTTTTGTGTGTTTCAGTGGGGAACTACTACTGTTTTGTGTGTTTCAGAGGGGCACTACTTCTGTTTTGTGTGTTTCAGTGGGGAACTTCTACTGTTTTGTGTGTTTCAGTGGGGAACTACTACTGTTTTGTGTGTTTCAGTGGGGCACTACTTCTCTTTTGTGTGTTTCAGTGGGGAACTACTACTGTTTTGTGTGTTTCAGTGGGGAACTACTACTGTTTTGTGTGTTTCAGTGGGGAACTACTACTGTTTTGTGTGTTTCAGTGGGGAACTACTACTGTTTTGTGTGTTTCAGTGGGGAACTACTACTGTTTTGTGTGTTTCAGTGGGGAACTACTTCTGTTTTGTGTGTTTCAGAGGGGAACTACTACTGTTTTGTGTGTTTCAGTGGGGAACTTCTACTGTTTTGTGTGTTTCAGAGGGGAACTACTACTGTTTTGTGTGTTTCAGAGGGGCACTACTTCTGTTTTGTGTGTTTCAGTGGGGAACTACTACTGTTTTGTGTGTTTCAGTGGGGAACTACTACTGTTTTGTGTGTTTCAGTGGGGAACTACTACTGTTTTGTGTGTTTCAGTGGGGAACTACTACTGTTTTGTGTGTTTCAGAGGGGCACTACTTCTGTTTTGTGTGTTTCAGTGGGGAACTTCTACTGTTTTGTGTGTTTCAGTGGGGAACTACTACTGTTTTGTGTGTTTCAGAGGGGCACTACTTCTGTTTTGTGTGTTTCAGTGGGGAACTACTACTGTTTTGTGTGTTTCAGTGGGGAACTACTTCTGTTTTGTGTGTTTCAGTGGGGAACTACTACTGTTTTGTGTGTTTCAGTGGGGAACTACTACTGTTTTGTGTGTTTCAGTCGGGAACTACTACTGTTTTGTGTGTTTCAGTGGGGCACTACTACTGTTTTGTGTGTTTCAGAGGGGCACTACTTCTGTTTTGTGTGTTTCAGAGGGGAACTACTACTGTTTTGTGTGTTTCAGTGGGGCACTACTTCTGTTTTGTGTGTTTCAGTGGGGAACTACTACTGTTTTGTGTGTTTCAGTGGGGAACTACTACTGTTTTGTGTGTTTCAGTGGGGAACTACTTCTGTTTTGTGTGTTTCAGTGGGGCACTACTACTGTTTTGTGTGTTTCAGAGGGGCACTACTTCTGTTTTGTGTGTTTCAGTGGGGAACTACTACTGTTTTGTGTTTCAGTGGGGAACTACTACTGTTTTGTGTGTTTCAGAGGGGCACTACTTCTGTTTTGTGTGTTTCAGAGGGGCACTACTTCTGTTGTGTGTGTTTCAGTGGGGAACTACTACTGTTTTGTGTGTTTCAGAGGGGCACTACTTCTGTTTTGTGTGTTTAAGAGGGGCACTACTTCTGTTTTGTGTGTTTCAGAGGGGCACTACTTCTGTTTTGTGTGTTTCAAAGGGGCACTACTTCTGTTTTGTGTATCAAGGGGCATTACTTCTGTTTTGTGTGTTTCAAGGGGCATTACTTCTGTGCTTTTCAAGGGGTGCTACTACTGTTTTGTGTGTTTAAAGGGGTGCTACTACTGTGTTGTGTGTTTAAAGGGGTGCTACTACTGTGTTGTGTGTTTAAAGGGGTGCTACTACTGTGTTGTGTGTTTCAGGGGGTGCTATTACTGTGTTGTGTGTTTAAAGGGGTGCTACTACTGTGTTGTGTGTTTAAAGGGGTGCTACTACTATGTTGTGTGTTTCAGGGGTTGCTTCTACTGTGTTGTGTGTTTAAAGGGGTGCTACTACTGTGTTGTGTGTTTAAAGGGGTGCTACTACTGTGTTGTGTGTTTAAAGGGGTGCTACTTCTGTGTTGTGTGTTTCAGGGGGCGCTACTACTGTGTTGTGTGTTTCAGGGGGCCCTACTACTGTGTGGTGTGTTTTAGGGCGTGCTTCTACTGTGTTGTGTGTTTCAGGGGGCGCTACTACTACTGGAACCTGGTGACTGACCAAGTAGCCTGGCTGTCCCCCTCTCACCCCAAGGCCCAGATCACACTGCCAGCTGAAAAGCTACAAGGTATCTACACAGCTATCTTGGTGTATTTAGACTTATCAATAACCATCTTTCATCAAGGGAGTGAACTGACTGTAAAACTCCCGTTTTCCCCTTGCCGAACTAGGCTGGAATTCTGGAAATACATTTACGAGTCTATGCATATTTGATGGCAAGGCTGATAAGTTTGGCTAGTTTGTGAATGATATCTAATATGAAGTGGTTTCATCTGTACAGACATTTGAAAGATGCATGTCATTTTTTGTTTATATTATCAAGAACATTGATTTTCTGTTGTTAAACTGTAAGATTCCTCTGAATGATAATAAGAGTTCAATGCATGTGCATTGTAAAATCAGAAGATGATTGTTCATGGTGAATGATCAGTTTGTAAATACATGTATATTGAGTGTGCACCCTACTCGGGGGCCCGGTGGCCCAAGGCACTGTAACTCCTTATGCAGAGTTGTGTCCCTTAGCCATGCCAGTAAAGGCAGGATCTGGTGATCATGTTTTCAAAGTAAGTGAGTGACTGAGTATGGTTTTACGCCGCTTTTAGCAATATTCCAGCAATATCACGGTGGGGAACACCAGAAATGGGTTTCACACATTGTACCCATGTCGGGAATCGAACCTTGGTCTTCGGCGTGACGAGTGAAGCTTTAACCACTAAGCTACCCGACCGCCCCCATATTTTCAAATCCCAGATTCATCCCATTATGGACCTTTGTCTGTCTATATCTTGCCATTGATTACCCTTGCTTGTGGGTTTTCATCGTAGGGTTGTAGGCCTTTACACTTGCCTATCTTTGGGCTTTCCTCCCACGTGAAGCTGATGCATCACAATAAACCTGTTAAAAGCTCAACATGATCCCAACATTGTCCATAGATGATTCATGATGCTTTAATTCATTAAACCGTGGTTAAGGATTTAGGAGCATCCCTGCAGCCTTAGTTCTTTGAAATTTGCTGCTAAAGTATTTTTGCTCTCGGGAGCCCCTAAATCTGTGGTTTCAACATTGGGGTAATAACCCCTTGGTTTTCGGGCTTGGTTTTGAGCAGTGTTTGTGATGTTTGTTACAGCTGTGCTGGGCAAGGTCGGGGGCATACTGGACATGGATGAACACAGTGATGAAGAAGACATGGACACAGGCAAAGCAATGGTGAGTGGCCAGTGCTAGATCCACTGTGAGGACCCATGGTCCTGGGTCTCCTTCCACAGTGAGACCCATGGGACCAGGGCCTCCTTCCATGATGAAACCCATGGACCTGGGCCTCCTTCCACAGTGAGACCCTCGGACCTGGGCCTCCTTCCACAGTGAGACCTATGGACATGGGCCTCCTTCCAGGATGAGACCCATGGATCTGGGCCTCCTTCCAGGATGAGACCCATGGACATGGGCCTCCTTCCATAGTGAGACCTATGGACATGGGCCTCCTTCCAGGATGAGACCCATGGACCTGGGCCTCTTTCCACAGTGAACCCATGGACATGGGCTTCATGTAAACTGAGGCCCAGGTCCATGGTTCTCACTGTGGAACTGATAATGGCTAGAGGACTCATGTACTTATGTTAAGAAAGCACTTTTTACAGTTCATTTTGAAACCATTTACCATGTTCTCCTGTTATAAGTGCTGGTATCATGTTGTATGAATCTAGGACCTCGCAAGAAGATGGTGGTCCTGGGATATACATTATGAGTAAATCTTTACACTTGTACTGTACTCGTGGGTTTTACCAAAGTTGTATCTCTACATTATATGTGCATCACTTTCCACCAACATAAGTTGGCATGCAGTGATAAGACAGAAACATGATGCATTACAGCATTGAACTTACCCCATATATATCTACACAGCCTTTGAAATTCATTCTTGTGCACTAGCCTGAGTATTGAATTGTGCTGAGGACAAGTAAATATCCAATGATGTAGTCCTCACTGACTTGATGCATTTGAGGGCTATGGTTCTGAACAAGTTGTCAGTGCTTCAATTTTGGTACAAATTGGAACTGAATAAAACTTACAGAACATGTAAACATAGTAAACATTTTGTCTTCTTCAAGCAGAACCTGCTACACACCCTGACTAATGAAATAAGGTTTTCACTTAGTCTTTACATTTAATAGGGTAGCTACTGCAGCAGTCTGTGAGGTTAGGATTCTGATTACTCTTCTCTTCCTGTTTTGGATTTGTAAACTGTTTACAAAATAGACCCGTGAAGATCCGGGGTAGAATAGGTCTGCAGCAACCCATGCCGCCCGTAAAAGGCGACTATGCTTGTCCTAGGGCGACTAATGGGATCGTGTGGTCAGGCTCGCTGACTTGGTTGATGCATGTCATCGATCCCAATGGCATGGATCGAATCTCATGATGTCAATCACTGGATTGTCTGGTCCAGACTCAATTATTTACAGACCCCCCTCATATAGCTGGATTATTGCTGAGTGTGGCGTTAAACAACAAACAAACAAAACAAAAATTTACAAAATATGAAGTACTCCAGCCAACAGTGCTCTAGTGATATGCCTGTTTTGGTAATATCCCTGTGCATCTTTGGGACTCTTTGCAGAGTGACGACAGTAGTTCCGACTCAGAGGAGGAAGTGGAGCAGAGGCGACGACGTGATAGACGTGAGAGGGACCGCGACTGGGACCGTGAGCGTGATAGGGACCGCAGTCGGGACCGGGATAGAGATCGAGACAGGGACAGGGATCGGGACAGGAGGAGGCGAGATGATAGAAAAGGTCAGAGCAGTCGATGTTCACGATGCAGTGGTTGATGATGTTGAAATAAACTTTGTAGATTTGTGTGAGTTCTCAGAAAATTTTGATACTTTATCATGCTTTTGTATTAAAGTGATCCCTCTCTACAACATTACAATTAATGAGCGTTATAGATGATCATCGGTTTAACCGAGGTGGAGTCCTAGGTGGTAGATGACCAACAAAACAGTATACATGCTCTGCCTACCTAACATGATTTTTGTTGCAAGTTTCAGAGGTTAAAAAACGACTAGAATAGAAGTTGTTTATGATTCATAGTGTAAAAAAAGATTTATCAAGTATTATATATATGCACTTTAAAAAAACAACAACATTGTATCCCTTCATCAATTCAGATGAATAAACAGGTATAACAAACTTGGTATATAAAAATATGAAATTTTATATAAAACATCACTTGACATGATGATTTACCATTTAAATTGTATTTCCTGCTGTCCAAGGCATTGTTTCATATGCTGAGATTAAGATTACTGTGTGTATTTTATCATAAACTAAGCTGAAATAGCAATAAGCTGTGCACACATTTCCCTCCAATCTACCAGTGATTCAGTTAAAAAGCACCCAATGATACAACTTCAAAGAAGCAATGGTCAGAAGAAATTGTGTCTGAAATTATTATTTTATCTGGAATAATATATTCCAATATTATGTTATTTTAGTTGCAGCTATTACTATATATATTTAAAATTATAAGAACCATACATATAGCACTTTGGTACAGGTGGTATGCAGGATATTATCAAACAATACGAACAGTGTAGAGAAATATGATTTTCTATCAGTTTACAGTATGTACATTGTGTAAGGAATCTTCATTACCTCATCGTTATATTCATAGCAACTCGGTGTACTGTTCAGCTTCCACAAATTTCAACCATGCAGCATCTTCCGAGGCAAGTGCGTTAACTGACTATAAAAGTCCAGTGTCAACTGTTGCTGAACTAGGCTGGAATTCCGGAGTTATATTTTGGTTGGACTAAAGATTCTATGCATAGTTTAATCGAAGTTATGTGATGAACGAGACATCTGGTTTGCAAACAACATGGATTTCAACCATGTCAACAGGCAGATTTCGGTCAATTGAAGGATTTGCAAATCTTTTCATGTTTTTAATGAACGTGCTCGATGTAGGACCCATTTTATTACAATACAGATCTTGATTATCGATCAGATCATCTTGACTGGTTGCCACCATTTTGTTTAAAGCAAATGCAAGTGATATGAGAGGTGGAATCTGATTGGTCAAGAGGAGGGACATAGAAGGGACAAAACATATAATAGCCACTAGTGGCGCTACGATCGGGCCTTGAAACTCCAGTTCGGCATGGGCGGGAACTGGGCTTTTATAGTCAGTTAATGCCCTTGCCTCGGGAAGTGGCCATGCAGCTGAAATGTAGTTTACAAATGGAAAGACTATGAAAGGCCGACAAGCAGATAACTGCAATTGTATTCATCTCTATTTTCAGGCCGGGGAAGAGATGGCCTTGACCCCATGGATCCGGCTTCATATTCGGACATTCCTCGGTAAGGAACATGATATTTTGTACACAGATGGGGGCGATGGAGTAGTCTTGTTTAAAGCATTCATCCATCATGCCAAAGGCCCAGGTTTGATTGCCCACGTGGGTACAATGTGGGAAGCCTATTTCTGGAATATTGCTTAACGTGGTGTAAAACCATACTCACTCATATACAGATGCAGAGGACGAATCAAAAAGGGTTCCCAGATCCCCTTTTGAAAATTGAATTAATTAATTAATTAATTGAAATAATTTCTAATCAGTGGATCTTGATTTTCTTTTTTGGACCTGCCATTCCTTTTCTGAGTTTATGTATGTCCATATGATTAGTTGTATGAAGGAAGTTGAGCGGTGAAAGATGAAGTTAATTTGACTTGTACTGATCAGGTATCATACAGATATTGCATGGTTGTAAAATGAGCACCCAAGTCATGGTTAGACATATCCACCACTGATGTGTTTGTAGGGTAATATCTGCCCTCAGATAAATCTGTTAACCATGAGGAACGTATCAACACAATTTGTGTTTAGTTGATGGGATGTCTACAATGTGAATTATCTCCCTTGTTCCTGGGTTTGATGAACACAATGCAATATTTGAAACCAGTGAGTGTGTTGGACACTGGTTAATATTTGAAACCAGTCAGTATGTTGGACACTGGTTAATATTTGAAACCAGTCAGTGTGTTGGACACTGGTTAATATTTGAAACCAGTCAGTGTGTTGGACACTGGTTAATATTTGAAACCAGTGAGTGTGTTGGACACTGGTTAATATTTGAAACCAGTCAGTGTGTTGGACACTGGTTAATAATTGAAACCAGTCAGTGTGTTGGACACTGGTTAATAATTGAAACCAGTCAGTGTGTTGGACACGTGGTAATATTTGAAACCAGTCAGTGTGTTGGACACTGGTTAATATTTGAAACCAGTCAGTGTGTTGGACACGTGGTAATATTTGAAACCAGTCAGTGTGTTGGACACGTGGTAATATTTGAAATAAGTGAGTGTGTTAGACACTGACATTCTCACACTCCTAAGGAACATCCCTGAAATCTGGATGAGTTGGGTTTTTCCCCCGTGTCTACCCCTGTATCATATTGAAAGTATATGTCAATATTGCAAGTAAGCTTGAAACCTCCGTGTATACAAGCACAGGACACAACATGAAAATATAAGCTGTTGCGCTGAGTGTGAGGTGTAATGAAGGGATGACAGTTCCTCTGCTGCTGAAACACAGCTCCTGTATCCTGTCATATCTTCAGAATATGTGTTCACTGTTGTCCATCTGTTGCAGAGGGGGCTGGTCTGATGGACTTGATCAGCGGGGCAAGGCCAAAACGGGCGTGGACGTGACAGCATCGGGGCCTCTCTTCCAGCAGCGTCCCTACCCCAGCCCGGGTGACGTACTGAGAGCAAACAGGGCCATCGCGGACAAGAAGGCAGATACATGACCTCACAATCTGAGGAGCAACAAACTGAGAGGATGTTTTTTCTGTCATAACATTTTTGTACCTGAGAAAACATTGATAACAAGGATTAAAACAAGATACACTGATAACAGCAATGTAAGTTGTATGAGGTTTTATGTAATGTATGGTGTGAATAAAATACATGTGTACAAGCAGGCTGTGTTTTTTCAATGTCAAATACTTGGTTGTTTGAAAGTTAAACCAAAGTGAGTGAGTGAGTGAGTTGGGTTAACGCCGCTTTTGACAGTATTCCAGTTATATTACGGCATGTCAGCTTAATGTGGGAGGAAAGCCCGAAGTGATGCAGGCCTCAAATGTTTACCACTTCTGTGAAACCCACGAGGACAGGATTCCCAAGGGACGCAACTCTGCACAAGAATTGCGATGCCTTAGACAACTGGGCCACCCTTGCCCCTGTTAAACCAAAGAGATTATTGAGACAGTGTATGTGTGATACTTATTTGCGGAAAACAAATTTAAGACTTCTTTTTGCCCTGAGGAGATTGTTGGAAATACATTAATTTGGACTCGAGTTTGATCACTGCCTGTAGGTTTGAAGGACAGTCAATGCTTTTGGTTGGCCTTGGCGAAGTTGCAATACATGAATCAGAAAATGAAAGTACTATGGTGCGCTATATTATTGAGGAAGTTAATTTATAATGGATTTATAACGGCGAATGCTTGCTAACCCATTAACTATGTCATACCCAAAATGTTTCTTGTTCTTCATTCAACTTTTATGACACAAAGTACCTGTCATTTACGTCTGTAAATAATCGATTCTCGACCAGACAATCCAGTGACTGACTTCATGAGCATCGATCAATGTTCAGTTGGGATATGATGACATGCATCATCAACCAAGTCAGCGAGTCTGACCACCCAATCCCATTAGTCGCCCCTTAAGACAAGCATAGCCGCCTCTTAGGACAAGCATGGGTTTCTGAAGACTCATTCCACCCAGATCTTCAGGGGTCTCTTCAAAATCTGATGAGACATATCGGCACAGTTCATGACAATAACATGTATGGGTGGTGGTGTTGGGTTCGGAGGGTGGGGTCATTCGTCACCACTCGCATGTTTCCGTAACGTACGAGACGAGTTGGTCACAAATGGTGGACGGGGATGAGGTGACATGTCAGCGAGCCTGACCACCCGATCCCGTTAGTGAGTTTGAGTTTAAGAGACACCGATCTGTTGCCTGTTGACGGAAGAATTATAAAAAGTCACATAGTGGGAATTTTGCGCAATATCACGCGACTCTTTGCCTTAAGGAAAATGTTTTTAACAACAGAAAATTAATTACATTTTTGTAATGCTATGTGCGTGTGAACAATCGTGCGATGTGTTTGTCATTGTTAGCCTCGTTCATCACGTCATCTGAGATGTTGCTGTTCTGGGAATCGAAATAATGTACTTCCTGTAAAGAATACACCATACAAATGTCCCATGTATGGCTTTATTTATAGTGACTTAAAGGGGTTGCCACTTTGTATAAAACCATATCATGTTGTTAGGGACTGGTTTAATTAGTCTCTGATAGATAGGTATACCATCACAATAGTATCGTCTTTTGATGACCTATTTCCTCAGTCAAATTTGTATGTAGTCTCTTTGAAAAGGATGTTTAAGATCAGACTTTATCACCCACTTAAAGCCCAAACTGTTTTTGTACCCATTTAGTCAGATTATCAGGTCAACAGACTCCACAACAACCTCCATATTCTTATTAATATCAGGTGATCAGTCGATCGTTCATTCAGTGAGCTATGGGGTCTGTGGTTGAAATCTTTCACGAGATCTTCTGAGATATCCAGGCAATTGTTAGTCTAATAAGTAATTGTAGTGAGTGAGTGAGTATAGTTTTTCGCCGATTCAACAATATTCCAGCAATATCACGGCGGGGGACACCAGAAATGGGCTTCACATATTGTAACCATGTCGGGAATCGAACCCGGGTCTTCAACGTGACGAGCGAACGCTTTACCACTAGGCTACCTGACAGCCCCAAGTCTAAATGTAAGCCATATATCTGTACATAGTGGTCTTGAGAGTAAGCACTCGTTAAGCATGAGAAACAATAGTTTCATTCGGGGCCCACATAAATATGATACCCTTACATCGTAGATAAGATCTCACTTTCTAATGATCAAATTCACAACCTGTGTCTTATAATTCGTGGCAGAGTACATTTTGTATGTGAAAATATCTTCTTCGTTTCCCTAATAACAGAGTCAGGTGTTTTGTTTTCAGGTTCTCCAGCCTTACATAACTTGTGAAAACATTAAGAGCTACCAAAAAATGATTCATACCGCCATTGTCTGATGACATATTTGACATGTCCGCTAAGTCTGTATTCAACTATATTTTGATAAATTTGTAAAAGAACTCAAGGATATTATGCACATAATGCAACAAACCAAACGTAAGGATAATTTAGATTTAATTAAAAAATAGACTTATTCTTGAAACAAATTGATTGATATATTAACTGTTATTTTGGTACTTGTTATTATTATTATAAAGTAATATTATTATCACACAAAGCCCTATACCTCTCGCCATGTGAGTCTGTAAGGGTTAATTGTAAAACCGTGGCAACTATCTTGAGACTAAAAGTTTATATTTCAAAACAACAACAAAAAGTCTAGAGGCGACCACTCTGTGGCAGGGAATACAATTCCTGTGAAGCGAGCCACTGCTTGATGTGATGTGAAGCAATATCCAACTTGGCCTCCTTTTTCACAGTGTGATACAGTGTAGTGGGTACAGAAAAGAAAGCTGGATGCTTGAGGTGAAAATAAATAGCAGACAAATATTCCTTCCATCCTCCAGCAGGTATGATGATGAAATAAAAAAAATAAAATATTTTGCCTTTGTTTTAGGCCATCCATGTTTCTCGCTACACTTCAGGTTCCGCGCGTAGGCAATGACTTAACGAAATGTGTATAAACTTGTTGGATTTTGTTTACGTGAACGTGACGCCGCCGCTTATCTATACTATCAAGTTACATTCCAGCAGAGTGCTGGATTACTAATATTTCCAAACAACAGACAGTTGCTGCATTGTCTGGAGAGCAATAATCGCCAACACCCCGTTATAGGGCACACATTCTGAAAATATATAATATATTCTGGAACCAAATAAGGAATGAATGTACATGTTATCAAGCACTGTGTAGTACATGGCGAGAACATTGTGTCTACAACACATCATGCACGACACACTGGCACGTTGCCATTTGAGTGTATTTTTTTTTAACGTGACGATAAACCCAATTATATCTCAAAGCCCCTGCAACACCTTTGGTCTCACGTTAATCACGTTACATAGATCCTGTAAATCACATTGTACACTTGCCACATCGCACCAGGCGGGTGTGAAAGGCGATATTAAGCCTGACACTGAAAACTTTGGGCGTTCTCACCTTTCCGATTTAATAGCCACTAACACGCATCTAGCGAGAGATAGCCTGTAGAAATAGTTACATACGATGGCTTTGCCAAGGTTGAGCAAGGTCACAAAGTTACTTTTTTTCTCACTGGCGAATCAATATTTAATGTGAATGGATATTTCAATTGTATGATAATATAACCATGTCGCAATAGTTTCCCGGGTTCTCCCACATTATGTTTCAGAGTTTGTCTGCACCATACCGGAACTGTGCGTATCTGAGCCCTGAGCTTAATTACGCGTTTTTGCCTATTTTAATTGAATAACATTACATGCAAATTAAAACCTAGGGCTAAAATACGAAGGGACAAAAACGTGATAGGAGGAATGAATATACCAAGTTTAATGAAACAATACTCACAAATGGAATGAGAGAGCAATAACAAAGACAATTTCTTTTTTCAACGTTTTCAAATTTATGAGTCAAGAAGAAATTGAAATGACAGCTGTCAACAAACCAGTATCGCAGTTATGCGGCGAATATGTCACACTGAGTATCCAGAATATCACCCACGTCAGTGGTTCAATGCGCCTTGTATGGAGACCTCTAACAGCAAGGTTACTATTGGTGAGCATTGACCATATAGTAGCGTGTTGAAGCACATCCGGTGGGGGAGATCAATCCACTTTAAACTTAATTTAAGCCATTTTAGCTTGTTTTAGACCCCCTTGTTCCAAGCGCCAGACAGGGTAACAACAAGTATCATCGTTTAACGTCTTTTGGTATGACGCGGCCGGGGATCGAACCCACGACCTTCCGTTCCCCCGGCGGACACACAACCACAAACAAAACCTCGGGGCGGTCCCATATCGGATTAACAACAGCAGTATGAGACAGGACTTCACAGTTGATACATGTGTATGTACCCATGTATTTTTAGTCTGGCATTTAACGACCGAATTGTGTGTTGTTTAACGCCGCACTCAGCAATATTCCAGCTATATGACGGCAGTCTGTAAATAATCGAGTCTGGACCAGACAATCCAGTGATTGACATCATGAGCATCGATCCACGCAATTGGGATACGATGACATGCACCAACCAAGTCAGCGAGCATGACCACCCGATCCCGTTAGTCGCCTCTTACAACAAGCATAGTCGCCTTTTATGGCAAGCATGGGTTGCTGAAGACCTATTTTACGCCCGAATGCATCTGTTTAGTTGGATAATCGAGACAGGTTATTCTCTGGCGTTGACTTTTCCTATTTACTTGAACTGGGTCCCCGAGCTTCATTTTAAGCTCAGAGGCATTTATCAATTAAGCGGAGTCAACTGCAAAACTACTGCTTTACCGGCAGCCCCCACCATTCACACAATTTGATAACAAAAAATATTCTGCCTGAATATGTGTCGTCTTAAAACGCGTATTGAATGACAGAATGAATTCTTCCAATCTGACCACATTGTCCTGTCACACATGTTATCAATTGAGATGAGTTTAGAAGTTTAGACAGTTAAGGTACCAAACACTGCAGAAAGTTCATAATAAAGCTGCCACAATTGTTTCCCGTACTCCAAAATGGTCGCGTATTTCTCCCGTACTAAATTACCTTCACTGGCTACCTCTAGAGGTTAGAAGTATCTTCAAAGTATTTTGTTTGAGATACAACTGCCTTCATTCAACTGAGGAACCTGTCTGATCTTGTTGATAAAAATATTCCTTTTCGAATGCAAAAATAAAAACATGTGAATCCCCGACAGAGCTATGCAGCTCCTGCTCTCTGGATCCCAAAACAAACTGCTCCCTGGATCCCCAAAACTTTAGGAATTACTATGACTATGAAATATGCTGCTGAATGCTTCTATCAATCATGGACATGAGCCCCTTTAACTCCATAATATCAGCGCAGTTCGGCAAGGGTGGAAACTGGACTTTTTTAGTCAGTTAACTCTCTTGTCTCGGGAAGATGCTGCTCTCTGGATCCCAAAACAAACTTCAGGAATTATTATGACTATAAAATATGCTGCTGAATGCTTCTATCATTCATGGACATGAAACCCCTTTAACTCCATAATATAAGCGTAGTTCGGCAAGGGTGGAAACTGGACTTTTATAGTCAGTTAACCCTCTTGTCTCGGGAAGATGCTGCTCTCTGGATCCCAGATGGACATGAGCTATTTTATTGTCAATCTAATCGTATTACTTGGAGCATGATTCGTGTGTGTGGAACTGGCGCCCTAGGACACATGCACAGTGTACTTCTATTACTCTCTGGTTACATTATCGTGTTAACTGTGGTGATATGTCAAACTGTTATGCCGTTTAAAGATTACTTTAAGTGCAATTTATACAATAGATACCTATACCTTCTTTCATCGAATATAAACTTTAAATACAGTTTACAGATGGAAAACGTAAACCCATAATGGCATAACATTATTTGGGCTCCAAATTTGCAAATAATAGCTTTATAGATGAATGTGCTAGATTTTCTGTCAAAAGGCTGTTTTCTAAACATATAGGTCGGCTCCTCGTTTCGGAAAGTAGTGTGTATTGAAGAATTGAATACTATATTATGTTTCTGACAAAACAAAGTAGAGCCACCCTTCATCCGAATGAGCCGTATCCTTCTGCGAGTGAGTGAGTATGGTTTTACGCCGCTTTTAGCAATATTTCAGCAATATCATGGCGGGGGACACATTGTAGCCATGTCGGGATTCGAACACGGGTCTACGGCGTGACGAGCGAACGCTTTAACCATCAATGCAAGAGTACTGAGCAGAGCAGCCATTTTTAGCAGTGTGTATTGGGTGTGGACCAGGGATATTATGAATATACCACATTGGAGACGACATTGAGACCGAGGTTATAATAAGTCCAAATAAGGCAAAGTAGATCCGCCAGCATTTATGCGCAGTACGATTGAATTGTAACCTGTTCCAGGCAGTTATGACAAGCCAATGTGGGTGTCGGCTGGTGAGTGTATGTAGCTCTTGGAAAAACTGAACGCAATTAGGCTTTCTGAAACAGGTATGTAATACACGTACGAGAATTAGTTGATGATAATTTATGTGTTTTATGGAAAATGCTTTGAGTAGCATGTGCCCAGAATGTTATTTGAAATCAACGTTTCAAACACACAAAAAACGTGGTCAATACGCAATTTCACAGGTAAATTTCTATGCTTGACAAGATCTGTAAACTTTATTGGGCTACTAAATTATTGTAACAATTGCAGTACTCCTGATATTGTTAAATTGTCATATTGTTGCGAAAGTACGGTGTGTCCCACCCACAATGTTATTGTTGGCGATGACGTTGGTTGCCAAGGACGTTGATGAAGATAGTTATGTCTCTACTCTGGTTCACCTTCCTTCATGCCACTTGTCAGAGTGGCGGGTGCTACCAGCATGCCAGGCCGTGTTAACTCTTAATAAAACAACCCGCTATTTTGCCTTTTAACGACCGAAATGTTTGTTGTTTAACGCCGCAGTCAGCAATATTCTAGCTATATGACGACAGTCTGTAAATAATCGAGTCTGGACCAGACAATCCAGTGATTGATGTTATGGGCATCGATCCACGCAATTGGGATACGATGACATGCACCAACCAAGTCAGCGAGCCTGACCACCCGATCCAGTTAGTCGCCTCTTACAAGCATTGTCGCCTTTTGGCATGGGTTGCTGAAGACCTATTTTACGCCCGAATGAACCTGTTAAGTTGGATAATCGACACTGGTTATTCTCTGGCGTTGACTTTTCCTATTTACTTGAACTGTGTCCCCGAGCTTCATTTTAAGCTCAGAGGCATTAATCAATTAAGCGGAGTCAACTGCAAAACTACTGCTTTACCGGCAGCCCCCACCATTCACACAATTTGATAAAAAAAAAGAATTCTGCCTGAATATGTGTCGTCTTAAAACGGGTATTGAATGACAGAATGAATTCTTTCAATCTGACCACATTGTCCTGTCACACATGTTATCAATTGAGATGAGTTTTTGAAGTTTAGACAGTTAAAGTACCAAACACTGCAGAAAGTTCATAATAAAGCTGCCACAATTGTTTCCCGTACTCCAAAATGGTCGCGTATTTCTCCCGTACTAAATTACCTTCACTGGCTACCTCTAGAGGTTAGAAGTATCTTCAAAGTATTTTGTTTGACATACAACAGCCTTTATTCAACTGGGGTATCTGTCTGATCTTGTGGATAAAAATATTCCTTTTCGAATGCAAACATACAAACATGTGAATCCCCGACAGAGCTATGCAGCTCCTGCTCTCTGGATCCCAAAACAAACTGCTCCCTGGATCCCCAAAACTTCAGGAATTACTATGACTATGAAATATGCTGCTGAATGCTTCTATCAATCATGGACATGAACCCCTTTAACTCCATAATATCAGCGTAGTTCGGCAAGGGTGGAAACTTGACTTTTGTAGTCAGTTAACTCTTTTGTCTCGGGAAGATGCTGCTCTCTGCATCCCAAAACAAACTTCAGGAATTATTATGACTGTAAAATATGCTGCTGAATTCTTCTATCAATCATGGACATGAACCCCTTTAACTCCATAATATCAGCGTAGTTCGGCAAGGGTGGAAACTGGACTTTTATAGTCAGTTAACCCTCTTGTCTCGGGAAGATGCTGCTCTCTGGATCCAAGATGGACATGAGCTATTTTATTGTCAATCTAATCGTATTACTTGGAGCATGATTCGTGTGTGTGGAACTGGCGCCCTAGGACACATGCACAGTGTACTACTATTACTCTCTGGTTACATTATCGTGTTAACTGTGGTGATATGTCAAACTGTTGTGCCGTTTAAAGATTACTTTAAGTGCAATTTATACAATAGATATACCTATACCTTCTTTCATCGAATATAAACTTTAAATACGAATTACAGATGGAAAACGTAAACCCATAATGGCATAACATTATTTGGGCTCCAAATTTGCAAATAATAGCTTTATAGATGAATGTGCTAGATTTTCTGTCAAAAGACAAAAAAACCAGATAGTTCGGCTCCTCGTTTCGGAAAGTAGTGTGTATTGAATAAGGTCTTACTATATCATGTTTCTGACAAAACAAAGTAGATGCACACTTCATCCGAATGAGCTGTATCCTTCTGCGAGTGAGTATAGTTTTACGCCGCTTTTAGCAATATTCCAGCAATATCACGGCGGTGGACACCAGAAATGGGTTTCACAAATTGTACCAACGTCGGTATATGAACACGGGTCTATGGCGTGACGGGCGAACGCTTTAACCAATGCAAGACTATACTGAGCAGAGCAGCGATACTTACCAGTGTGCATTGGGTGCTGACAAGTCCAAATAAGGCAAAGTAGATCCGCCAGCATTTATGCGCAGTACGATTAAATTGCAACCTGTTAGAGGCAGTTATGACAAGGATAGGTGGGTGTCGGCTGAGTGTATGTAACTCTCGCAATCAGGCTTTCTTAAACAGGTATGTAATACACGTACGAGAATTAGTTGATGGTCATTTATCTATTTTATGGAAAATGCTTTGACTATCATGTGCCCAGAATGCTATTTGAAATCAACGTTTCAAACACAATTAACGTGGAATACACAATTTTACAGGTGAATTTCTATGCTTGACAAGATCTGTAAACATATTGGTCAACTCAATTATTGTAACAATTGCAATACTCCTGATATCGTTAAATTGTCATATTGTTGCGAGGGTACGGTGTGTCCCACCCACAATGTCTACATGTTATTGTTGGCGATGACGTTGGTTGTTGGGCTGGGATGAGTCCAAATTTACTACCCGGGAACCTGACCCCCTATTACCCGACCCTACCCGGGTACCCACTACAAGTCTCAAGAGTTGGGAACAAAATGTCTGATTGGGAATTGTTTTACGGCAACCCTGGCCAAAATTATTTAGATACATGTATCAAACGATCAGATCATGCGTACACTGAAGTTGACTGAAGCTTTATCTTTACTCAAACATATACAAGTGTGGCGCAAAATAAATGTGTGCATCGTCAGAAAGAAATGCAAACATTAGCGACTTGTAGTGTAACCACTGATCTATAGTGAGGTTTTGTCATGAAACAATATATTATGTGACTTACCACGGGCCCGGGTAGTCCTGTGGGTACCCGGGTCCTACTCAGGACCCACTCGACCCGAGTACCTGAGTTATCCCAGTTACCCATCTAACGCCGCACTCAGCATCATTCCAGCTATATGACGGCGGTCTGTACATAATTGAGTCTGGACCAGACAATCCAGTGATTTATGACACCAACATCGATCCACGCAATTTGGATACGATGACATGCATCAACCAAGTCAGCAAGCCTGACCACCCGATCCCGTTAGTCGCTTCTTACCACAAGCATGTGTTGCTGAAGACCTATTCTACCCCGGATCGTTACGGGTCAGGTAGTTATGAAGTTCTAAATAGATAACCACATGACTCTTACTGCAAAATGTATTTTGGATGAAGACGAACTGGTATAGTATTTACGGGAGGTGTCGATGAGTAATATACTCTTCAATAAAAATAGAAACGCAGATTTGTGTGAGGTAGGAAATACATATATATTGGGAACCGTACAAGTTATTGAGGCAAAATGTTGTAGAGTGAACACTTGGTGATTGTAGTCATCTCAGTTATCGGTACATAGGAAACGTCCAAGGTAAAAAGTCAGCTACCACCAATAACGCGTATGTCCCCCGTTGGAATCGATAGCGGCCTGACATCTCCTGTCCATGGAAGAGACGAGTATGCGAATCACATCCTGGGGAATGGTAGCCCACTCGGTCTGCAACGCAAAAGTCAACTGCTGCAACGTCTGGCCGTCTATCCAATTTATCCCACATGCGCTCTATCGGGTTCAAATCCGCGGATCTGGAGGACCAGGAGCGAAAATCAACGTTGTTGTTGTGTAGACAGGCTCTTGTGATCCGTGCTGTATGCAGTCGAGCGCTGTCCTGCTGGAATTCGCCGTTGCCGTTTGGCTGCAATTGGGAGGACGTGTGGTTGGAGAATTTCGTAAATGTATCTGTGAGCCGTAAGATTGCCCTGGATATGGACCAAACCTGCCCTGCCATGATGAGAGATAGCCGCCCACATCATAACGCTACCCCCACCAAACCTGTCCACTTACTGTACGCAGTTTTGGGCGTGCTCTTCCATCCCCTCGACGGAGGAGAAATCTTGATTCGTCACTGAACCAGACATCTCTTCATCGCAGTTGAGGCCATACCCTGTGTTATCGCCACCAATGCAATCGTTGTTGATGATGTTGTCGACTCAATATGATGTGTCGAACAGGACGACTTGCTCGTAGACCCCTTAAACGCTTTCGTACGGTCTGGTCGCAGATTCTGCGCACTCCGGGTATTTGGGATGCGGTTGAGGTGGCTGTGGTCGTCTTTTCACGCAGGTGGCGCAGTCGGGTTCAGCGAACTTGGGCGGGGGTGGTTACTCTTTGTCGTCCCGACCTTGGCCGATCACGTGTTGCCCCATGCTGTTGAAACTGATCCCACAGCCTTGTGATGATGCTGGGGGCTACGTTGAAAACCCTGGCTACAGCTGATCGGGATTTCCCTGCCTTCAAGCGGCCTGTGACTGTTCTTTGCACTTCTGTTAATCTTGGCGTGTTGTTGAACTGTCACTGTTCGATCGACGCAGATGCAAGGCAATCAAAAACCCTGCAGTTTAATACCGTACATAGTGCTGCTGCACGTGCAGTATGTGCAGCTCCATGGCCCTGGCTGCGTTTTTCCCCGAATCGTACGTGTTTCCCGACTAATGGTTTGCATGTCCTTGTTGTGAGCATTTTGATCCGGGAAATTTGTCACTGACACCATAACACAATAAACCTCGTCATTTTGCACCTTGGTCCGCTAATTTTGCCTTTATGGCCCAAAATATCCGTGTTGCGTTTCTTTATTTGAAGAGTATATGTGGTAATGTAATTAAATCAAGGATTCCTAATAACACTAATAACATTTGTCAGTTCACATCTGTGTGCGGCATAGTTCAGTGTAGTTTTCCTGGCAATGCCTTGTATAGAGATAAAGTACATGTACTTGATATGCCATGACCATGAAAACACGCTTGGTTTTATAACTGCGATATACGATAAGTAAACAGTTATTTGAGACATCTGTGGTAGACCTACCCACGTCACATGTTATGTTGTCTGAATGTTCGTCAGGTATGGACATGTTAACTTAACATAGTTCATAAACAAAGGCAGTCCGCCAATTGTATGCGCTCAGCCGATATTTGGAGGTCGGTTTCTTAGAAAGACGTGGTATGATTTCTACGAAGTCTATTACTGTATTAGTAATCTGTGGGTTTCTTGGAAGTATTTTTCATATGTATGTGCAATCAATTGTTTGTTATTTTATAGTAAGGAATACGTAGGGGAAATGAAAAATAATTGTATAGTCATGCCGAAATAGTAATACTCCTCGCGATATCATGTTGCGACTGTCAATTTTTCTCTCACTCTGATGTGATAACACATGTCAATATTGAGTCATACTAGAAACTTCACAATCTAATATTTGAATACGTTCAACGAACTTTAATAACAGGTATAATGGTTGTCATGAATTCATACTGTAATGGTAATGTCCAGACCCGGTCTGAAGCCCACCATAGCCAACGTTAGCAGATCCATAGCACAGAACTATTCATAGCGCTACTGAACTTGTGATGTAATCAGATGAATCCGCTTTTTACCTACCATTTCGACCGCTACTGGTAATGGCAAATGCTGTGGACGCATTGGACTGATTATGGATCGTAATTCATTCCAATTTTTCATTCTGACGTCAACATTAACATAAATACCTCCTTCGACACTTTCTTCCTTCAAATTGGAGGATGCGATGTTACCGAGTGTGTTACGACAGTGTCAGGCGCTAGAAAGTTTGACGAGTGTGGTGTGGGAACTTTGACTGGTGTGGAATATTTTCTGATGTTCTGGAAGCGAGACGGACTGTATATAAGAGGACAGTGGCGTGTGTACGCAGCTCTCACGCATTTCGTCACGCTTTTCGTCGCTTCGGTACCAGCTTTCATGCGAGGACTGCTCATCATCCCTGATTCCCTGCCTGGCCCAGGGAAAATGCTCCCGGTGTGAAAATCAAATCTGTCACTTACACACAGGCAGGATGTTGTACTGTCTTCATCGTTGACGTTGTCGTTGTAGAGTTACATGATTGTTTTATTATTGGCATAATACTACAGAAGAGATGTTATATTTTACACAGACAATTCATATCATAACTTTATTGCCCCCATTCACATACAATTCGGATTGCAAGCATCAGTGCCTTGACACTTTTTAGAAATCTTGAAGTGTATGATAGACTTGGAACGCGGTATCTTAATTAACGTACAATAATTTTACCTGAATAAGTATAGGTTAAAGTTGTCTAAACAGCAACTCATTCTTAGTCCACTATCAATAGTATAAAGCGAATCACGTTTAGGGTCGTCTCCAGCAATTACTCTTACTTAGCCGTACATGTAAATATTATACCTAATACGTGGGCTGGTCAAAATGTTCTATGCCTAACAAACAAAACTAACAATTGTGAAAGTGTTTTTAATTCAATTTTTCAACTTAATCTCTCTGCTTCTCAATTCACATCTCATATCGATAGTTAAGTTTTCAATTCGAGCCGGGAAGAAGTTTTCTCAGGTCATTGTTGTCGTCATAGCGCTTTCCACGAAGGTGTTCTTTCAGTTTAGGAAACAGGTGGAAATCACATGGTGACAGGTCTGGCGAGTATGGAGGGTGTGAAAGCCCTTCGAACCCACATTGTCGCATAGCACCCTTTGCAAGGCGAGAGGTGTGAGAAGAGGCATTGTCATGAAGTAGTAGAACTCCAGCAGTCAGCATTCCTCGCCTCTTTTCTTTGATAGAATCTCATGAAGCAAATCAGGATAGTAGACACCAGTATTGGTCTTTTGACTTTCTAAATAATCAACACGGGTCACACCCTTTGCATTCCTGAATACAGTGGCCATAACTTTCTTCACTGATATTGAAGACTTGAATTTCTTTGGTGCTGGTGAAGCGGAATGCTGCCACTCGGGATCATCACCCGTTACTAATCTCTTTTTGAAATTGACGAAATCCTTCTCAATTAGTTCCAAATTTTGTCTTGCAATGTCAGTTCTCTTTTCCTAAAGATCAGAATTTAGAAACTTTGGGACGGTGTATGTGTGATACTTATTTGCGGAATACAAATTTAAGACTTCTTTTTGCCCTGAGGAGATTGATGGAATTACATTAATTTGGACTCGAGTTTGATCACTGCCTGTAGGCTTGGAGGACAGTCAATGCTTAGGGTTGGCCTTGGCACAGTTGCAATACATGAATCAGAAAATGAAAGTACTATGGTACGCTATATTATCGAGGTAGTTAATTTATAATGGATTTATAACGGCGAATGCTTACT